TATTAAGTACACTTCTAATAAGACCTTATTAACCTTTGCCCTTTATAAATATAACAATATTATATTATACAACGACATTCCTTCAAATACAAAACTGAACATAATTGAAACATATCAGTAACAGAAGAGCGTGCAGTCTTAAATAGAAATATAATAGTACCAAGAATATTTCAACTTCTTAAAATATTTCTCAGTAAAGTGTATTGTGCAATTAATTAGTTATACTTTCCAAATATACCATTTTAACCTTTCAGAAAGTCTTCTCCTACCTAAGTGGACTATAGGAAGGAAAAGAAAAGCCTCAACATGTCATTTAATGTTTTTTCTCTTTTAATTTATTAGGCATGTAGATATTTCTTAAAATGTTTTTCAGTTTATTGTGTATTCCACCGCATGATTGCTGATTTACATTTACAAAATCAGCACTAAAATGGCAAATAACAATTTTATTACAGCTTGCCTCTAGCCTTCTCCTACCTTCTAATACCTCTAGTGATACCTCTTCAAAAATAATAATATTTTTATAATAAAAATATTAATTATTTTTTATCTAAATTGCAAATACACTGTAGTTTACTCTGAATGATCTTATATTTAACATCTTATTTAAGAGTTTTAATAGGTCGAATATTTAAAGCCCACATTTCAACAAATGGCTACGTTCACAGATACACAGGCAGATATTTTTAAAGTTTTTTCCGCTCAAAGGATTTCTGCGTACTAATCTACTGACATACCAGTCTTACTATCCTAATACACCTAGTATTAGGACTTTCAAGCTTCTTTGCTGCCTAGTAATCCGTCTGGTTATGTATCGCCTACTTTCCTATTTCCGCTGATGAGACCAAAAAATAGCAGTGCTTGCACTGCTATGTTCCGGTCTCCAGGGTATAGGGCCAGTATGATTAATCTTCAAAGGTGACACTGAACTGTGGCCTCCTTTATTCGTATTTGGTTGAAAGTGTTATCGACTGCAGTAGCCGTACGATTGTATATAATATATAATGTTTGTGCGCTCATATAATTAGTTAACCCACCCCGAAGGTCTTATAACCAAGTCCCTTTCTGGCACTCACTAAACACTTTAGGTAGGGTAAACTTTCTAAGAGTTTAAAAAGTTGTGTACTTTTTTTAATCAATAGTTATAGCTAATAATTTAAGTCACATAGATACACTATACTACCCTAGCTTAAGTACGTTAGGCAATAAGCTTGATGCAATAATGTACTCTCGCAAGACATAAACTGAGTAACGTACTCCCAATATTCTTCTGACTGTCTCTTTAGTTCAGAGGCCATAAGCGGGACTAACGATCATTTGGTTCCAGATCGAATACCGGGTCGGGCAAAAATTTGTTATTGGGCTATTTTGAGAAGAAATTCTCAGTGGCAGCTATTTCAATACGGTGTCTCGAAAAGCACGTGAAGCCTTATAATAAACTTCATCGAAATATTAGTGTTAATATAGAAAAATTATAGGAGGTATGGCCAGTCTCTCTTGAGATTTGCCGCCGTGAACAAAATTTGGTATGGATGAATTTATTAATTATAACTAACCGTGTTGCTGTAACCTAATAATATCCACCTAAGTAATATCTCTAATAGACGAATGTGGGAAAGGTTTCGTACACCGAGGTATCACATCTAGTGGTGGATCACCCAATACGTCGCTTTTTAGTACGAAGCTGTCACTTATGAATCTTTTTTCTTTCATCATCATCTCGTATTTTGATGTATAGTACAAAGTGTTCTGTCTCTTTTGTTTTGTTAGTTTCAGCTCGCCAAATACAACATTTTATATTCAGAATGAAAAGTTGACACATGAAACATCATTAAAATCTAATCATACTCTAATCGCCTGCTTATTCTCGCGTTTTGGGAAAGGTGTCCCAGCTGTGAACCTTTGTAAAATGTTCAGTTTTAAATATTTAACTTTTTTTATTTTCATCGTGATGCTTAAAGTTCGAGGATTGAACCGATATTTATGCTAAAAAGAGCTTGCTATAAGCAACAAGTCACTCCAGTGGACAATGTAGCAACAAGTTCTCTAAATTATTAGCTAATTATGTTACCGACGACATGCCACTTGCGCGCTGCCTCTCAGTCTACCTTGATGTTAGGCCATTATATCATAATGACAATATAAAATAAACTACTACTTTTATCACACTTTTAGCTAATTATTGTACGAAATGTTTGTCTTGTTTGTGTCCCTTTAAAGGAGAAACTGTTAATGTTGAATATTAAAAAAACTGTGAATACGAGAGAAGCGTTTCCATCAATCTTACAAAGAAATTCCCCCAAGCGACAAAAATTTCTATTCAAATATGAAATCTTAATAAAATAAAATATTTGCTTTATGCAAATCTCAAAAAGTTATTTTCTAATACCAGTTATTTAACCAGAAGCTACATCGATTACTTTTTTTGGAATATGAGGACGATTTCATCATTCTAGCTGATTTAGAGAACTGGACAATCTCCGAATTCTATCGGAAACTAGCATATATCAATGTGTCTTGTACGTGGTAAAGCCAGCTGCTGCTGCTACTGCTGCAGCAGCTATATTATAGTCGTAACACATATGGATCGTTTCGACCAGGGAAGGGCCATGCTCTCATAAAATCCAGCTTAAAACTGCTACTTTTCCTATGGTGAATGTAGAGAACCGTAGACCCGTTTCTACTGGAAACGAGGCATTCCATCTTAGTCATCAGGAGTGACAACGCTTCTGCATTTTGATCACTAATCGAGGATAGATGTAGATGTCTATAGGCCACAGTATCCACTTATCATCAGGTGGACTGTGCGCTCGCTTGTCCCCTATTTCTATAAAACAAAACTTAGGCTAAGTGACATGCAAATACACTAACTAAATGCACTGACTCATTCTGACATAATTATTGTATGATAAGATCAGAAAAGACTACAGTGCCGGAGACATGGTAGATGGTAGTCATGTTGCTACGTACAGACCATGCCATAAGGTGAACTGTGTAAAAATTAAAAAATAAATATTTTTATATCAGCTATTTGTTTTTTGAATTAAACTCAAATTGGTATAAAGTAGTAACGTCTTTAACTTATCTCAGTGTCATTGTATCTCGTCCCGTATACCGGCTCCTTTATCCTCTTTTGTCCAACCGGAGCACATCAATAAGGGCAAACAGCTTAGTGACGGATGCCAGTAAGAGATACCTATCTTTTCAGTTTGTGGAGAAACGACGCGCTCCGCCTCGGGCGTTCTCGTAAACAGTCGGCGGCGCGAACGCAGCTTCAAGAGCACTCGGTTTTCTCCAGCTCACCATTCGGTCTAGCTACGCGACGCCGAGAGGCTGCCCGTCTTGCGCCCCGTTCACGCCTACGCGATACGATTATTGTTCACCCTTAACTGTTTTTTGTGCCTTTCAATATCTGACTATTCTATAACTTTTATAGTTTCGTACTTCTCGCTAATTAGATGTCTCTTGACTATTCTCTTACTTCGTGTTCCTTCTACTCTTGTGTATATTGTAATAAACTATTAACTGTATATGTGTGGTTTAATTAATTCACCATCCGCCACATATATTTGGTGACCTCGCACGCGCGAGTGTAAGGACCAGTGTTAAGACTTTAATTTCGCTATTCGTTATTTTCGAAATGAACAATAGCAAATTTGTCGCATCGGCACCGACGCTGCCGGAATCGAGTGTATGCCGTGTCGGTGTAAAAGCACCGCCATTTTGGCCTGACGAACCAGCGTTGTGGTTCGCACAATTAGAGGGACAATTTCAACTGGCAAATATTACTGCAGACAATACGAAGTTCAATCATGTGATCTCTAATTTAGACTATAAATATGTAATGGAGGTGAAAGACGTGATTACTAACCCGCCGTCTGAAAACAAATATGAAAAAATTAAGACCGAGCTTATAACCAGATTATCAGCATCCCAAGAACAACGAGTTCGACAACTATTGGCGCACGAAGAACTTGGAGACCGGAAACCGTCCCAGTTCTTACGGCATCTAAGAAATTTAGCGGGTAACGACGTTCCAGACGAATTCCTAAGATCACTTTGGACAAACCGATTGCCTAACCACATCCAGGCTATTATCGCAACGCAGACAGGTACCAGTTTAGACGCCGTGGCACAATTGGCTGACAAGGTCAACGAAGTCATGTTCCCGCCGCAGGTGCAACACCTGGCTTCAACATCGACGATCGCAGCGCCATCTGAGTTTGACGATTTCAGACGTAGCTTGGATGACCTATATCGTCAAGTAGCTTCACTGACTATGCATCGTGCGCGTTCAAGATCACGAGGGCGTACTTCTAGTTACCGTAAACGTTCACGTAGCCGTTCTGCTTCCACCCATGACCAGTGCTGGTATCACTGGAAGTTCGGAAGCTCCGCTAACAAGTATAGATCGCCGTGTAAGTTCTCCGGTCCCCAACCGGGAAACACCAAAGGCAGTCAGTGATGCTGGCCAATGACTGCCATACTTCCGGCCGCTTGTTTGTTACAGACATTAAGACGAAAGTGTGTTATTTAGTGGACACCGGGTCAGATCTGTGTGTATATCCGCTTGGCATGTTACTTTCGGCTGGGTGGATTTAGTGCTAGACTTTGGACTACGCCGTGCTTTTAATTGGCGCTTTGTTATAGCTAATGTTACGAAACCAATTATAGGAATAGACTTTTTATCGTTTTATAATTTACTTGTTGATTCTAGGCACCATAGGTTAATAGATAATACAACCTCTCTCGTCGCTAAAGCATCTCCTGTTGCATTACCTGCTTTATGCCAAATTAAAACATTTACAGGCATTTCACGTTTCTATGATCTGCTAGCACAGTACCCGGAGATCATGCGGCCAGCAGACTGTCACGCTGCGCGTGAGGGGAAACACAACACCGTGCACTACATCCGCACCATGTCTGGACCACCTGTCACCTGCCGTCCACGCTGATTTGAACCTGACCGTCTGCGCATTGCAAAAGAAGAATTTGAAGAGATGGTAAGATTAGGTATTGCTAGACCCTCCGATAGCTCGTGGTCGTCACCTCTGCATCTCATCCCAAAGAAGGACAACACGTGGCGTCCATGCGGTGACTATCGGGCGTTAAATGCACGCACGATATCCGACCGCTATCCAATTCGACACATCGGAGATTTCTCACACAATCTCTTTGGCTGCACCATCTTCAGCAAAATAGATCTGGTACGTAATTATAACCAGATACCAGTAGCACCTGAGGATGAACCTAAAACTGCCATTGCAAATCCGTTTGTTCTGTTCGAGTTTCCTTATATGGGCTTTAGAATGTGCAACTCGGTGCAAACATTCCAACGTTTTATGGATGAAATTCTAAGAGGTTGTGATTTTGCATTTCCTTACCTTGATGACATTTTAGTAGCATCTAAAAACATAGAAGATGACGAGTGACACTTACGATCTGTCTTAAAGCGCCTCAAAGAATATGGTGTGCTAATCAACAGCTCAAAATCAATCTTTGGAGTATCTGAAGTGGAGTTCTTGAGCTTTATTGTAACCAACGAAGGAACGAAGCCAACACCAGATAAGGTCAGTGCCATTTTGAATTATCCACTTCCGAACAACACAAAAGAACTCCGCAGATATCTTGGCATGTGGAACTTCTACCGCCGCTTTGTACCTAATGCAGCTAGAGTACAGGCACCTTTAAATTGCCTCCTCTCAGGGACGTCTCTGAAGGCCACTACACCAATTAATTGGACAACCGAACTAGAAAAATCATTTGAGTAAAGTTAGGAAAATATAGTTAAAGCGACTCTGTTAGCACACCCTGACCCAAGAGCATGCTTAGCCATCGTCACTGATGCCTCCGACAGTGCCATAGGCGCAGTACTGCAGCAGAAATCTGGTTCAGAATGGATTCCTCTAGAATTTTTCTCAAAATAACTGAACAACGCTCAACGTAAATACAGCCCCTACGATAGAGAGTTGCTAGCAATATACGAGAGCATAAAATATTTTATGTATATGGTCGAACTTAAGCCATTCACTGTGTTTACCGATCATAAACCCATCATCTCCACCTTTAAGAAAAATTCAGACAGCTGCTCACCTAGGCAATTTCAATACCTAGATTATATCGCCCAATTTACAACCGACATTCGCTACATTTCAGGAAAGAACAACGTCGTCGCAGATGCCTTATCCCGAGTAGATATCATAATCAGTGCAGTCAACTTAGAGGATGTACATGCAGCACAGGAGACAGACGACGAACTTCCGCATCTTCGCCATCATACATCTTTGAAGCTTAAGCAGTTAGACCTATGTTTATGCCCAAATTTGGGAATGTTTGAACGCCACCCAATTGTGTTCGAGCTGGCGCCTCAGCCGATGGTATGTAGGTGAGATAAGCGCCAAGGTGGGGCGACCGGGCGCGGATGCGTGGGGGTCAGTCGCTCGACGCGTGGGCAAAAGGTAAGAGGGCCTGACGGCCTCCCCGCCTCGTGGCTGGCGGGGCACTGACCTTTTGCCCTGGCCGCGCCCCCGCCCGTGGGAGTCGAGGGCCCGGAGAGCCCTAAGAGGAAACACCGTTCGCACCCAGACACAAAACGGCATGGTGATAGCCCTAGCCGCGCGATGGCATTACTTCTAAATACAAATTACTACGCGGCTCAAATTCAAATTACAAATTAACAAATAACAAATACAAAAAGAACCAACGAGTAACAAAATACCGTTCCTATCAAATCAAGTTAAATACAATTACACAAATACAAATTACCATTTATTAGATTAAATACGATTACCATTTATTAGATTAAATACGAACCACAATACAACAAAGATACACATCCCGTTCGATCTACAAAAATGCCTCGCTAGATAACCAACCCTTCGATAAGTAATCAACCATAATTATACGACAACGATAATTATCCGATTACGTGATAATAACCATCTACCTACCCAACGCATCTCTTTAGCAAACTCCCGCTTGCGCAAACTACGGGCGTGGCAATCGCAACTACCCATCAACAACAAAAAAAAGCAAGCAACAATGCAAAAAAATAAAAGAATTTTATTTTTACGTATTACGGCCGGGCGTGATTGTAGACACAAAATTAAACCAATCAAACCAACGCACCCTGCCACCAAAATTGTTTAATTTTTATTAAACACTACGGTCGGGCTCTACCGGGAATCGAACCCGGAACCACGCTCTGTTACCACTATGTTACGGCCTACGGCAGCTCCAGCAAGGGTCAAATCCTCTGGGGCCCATGAGCAGAAGACTTCACGAGCAGACGCAGGTCGGGCCTCAATATGGCCGCGTGGAATTTCCTATCACAATAAACTATATGGGAGCAAACTAGAAAGCAAAGGTACTTACCTGTATCAGGAGCTGACTTCGCTCCAAGGCTTGGGCAGGCCGTGAGTGTGTGTAATGGTAGATAGCGAGTCGTGTACAGTGAGGTGTGAATGTGTGGGGCCTTGGCAAGCATAGGCGACCAGCAGCGGCCGAGTTCCAGGCTGCTCCAAAATGCTGAATCGCTCCAGACTGCTTCAGCGCCGGACCACTTCTTTCTTCACTGTCACTATTCAGTCTCTTAGCTTCATTGTACATTTAACTAACTTCAATCCGCCTAATTCCACACTCATCGCAGAATCGAACACGTGATATCCGACACGGCAAAGACAGTAGCACAAAATGCGACATTGAATGTCCCGGATTTACTTATCACAAATTATAAATTCGACACAGAATAACACGTCGCACAAGATTCAAAATACGCCTCGTTGACACTCAAATTAATTTAACTACGCAACCAAAACACAAAAAGGCACTAACGCGACGACCCATTTATAACGATATCCTGCCAATTAACCGGGAGAAGCTCTCAAAATGGGAATGCGCGGCTCGAATCCTAGACCGTATATCTACTAGACGCGCGTACACTATTCCGCACTCTTGCACGAGTTAAATATCGCACAATCCACTTATCTCGTGACGAAGAAGCACGTACTTCATCTAGCTATCTAGATCCACGACGGGCCGTGAATTTTGGTAAGAGGGCCTGACGGTTTCCCCGCCTCGTGGCTGGCGTTTGCCACCGACGTTTTGCCCACGCGTCGAGCGACTGACCCCCACGCAGCTGCGCACGGTCGCCCCACCTCGGCGCTTATCTCACCTACATACCATAGGGTGAGGCGCCAGCTCGAACGCAATTGGGTGGCGTTCAAACATGACCAAATTTGGGCATAAACAACCTATCTGGCACCGGAAAGAAACTCTACTATGATGTATCAGGTATGCCTCCACGGTTATACTTACCTAAAATGTTACGACGCCAAGCTTTCGATACGATTCATGGCCTGAGTCACCCAAGTGCGAGAGTCATGATTAAGCAGATGACAGCAAGATACGTATGGCCTAATATTCGAAAAGACTGTCGACAATGGGCACGTACCTGTGTTGATTGCCAACTCTCAAAGGTATCACGGCATACACGATCTCCAGTACATGCTTTTGCTTCACCAACTAGCAGATTCGCTCACGTGCTGGTGGATCTTATCGGACCTCTGCCTATCTCCAAAGGATATCGGTACTGCTTAACCGTTGTTGAGCAATTTACACGATGTCCTGAAATGATGCCACTCGAAGACATAAAAGCTGAAACCGTAGCCAACGCATTCGTCAGAGGTTAGATATCACGATTTGGTTGCCCTCTAAAAATAACTACAGATAGAGGCAGATATTTGAGTGTTACCTTTTTAAAGAGCTTTCCAAATTAACAGGCGCACATCACATCACCACCGCTGCTTATCACCCGGCAGCAAACGGACTCGTGGAGCGGTTCCACCGGTAGCTGAAAGCAGCCATCATGTGTCATGCTGAGCAAAGTTGGTATGAAATCCTTCCATTAATTCTTCTCGGAATACGGAGTTCATGGAAAGAAGATATCGCATCCTCGTCGGCAGAGCTTGTATATGGCGAAGCTATAAGACTACCAGGCGATTTTTTCGACTCTACTTCCACAGCAGTCGTAGATTATTATGACTTCCTATCACGATTACGACACTATATTCAAAACTTAAAGCCGACAACGGTAACACGACATAGTTCAACAAAAGTTCTCGTACACAAAGACCTACGTAAATCATCACACGTATTTCTAAGACACGACACCATAAAAAAACCTTTACAGCCACCTTACGCTGGACCTTTTAGAGTGGTAGAACGTAGTGATAAAACATTTAAAATTGATCGTAATGGTAAAATCAAAACGGTTTCCATTGACAGACTTAAGCCTGCTTACCTGCTTACCGAGACACCAGAGAGCTCGCAGAGGAGTAAGCTAGGTCCATCAGAATAACCTCCCCCCTAAACCACCAGATCCGGCAGAAGAGTGAGGTTCGCTAATTTCTATCGACCGTAAAGGTCTCCGGGGGGGCTGTTGTGGAGAAACGACGCGCTCCGCATCGGGCGTTCTCGTAAACAGTCGGCGGCGCGAACGCAGCTTCAAGAGCACCACTCACTCACCATTCGATCTACCTACGCGACGCCGAGAGGCTGCCCGTCTTGCGCCCCGTTCACGCCCACGCGACACAATTATTGTTCGCCCTTAACTGTTTTATGTGCCTTTCAATATCTGACTGTTCTATAACTTTTATAGTTTCGTACTTCTCGCTAATTAGATGTGTCTTGACTATTCTCTTACTTCGTGTTCCTTCTAGTCTTGTGTATATTGTAATAAACTATTAACTGTATATGTGTGGTTTAATTCACCATCCGCCACAAATATTATTTAAAAAGTATTATATAGTCGACTTTACAGTTATTTGGAAAAATATAATATTTTAGTAAGCGAACAAAAGGGGTTTCGCGGGGTAATTCTATAAATAAAGCTATTTATGACTTAATTAAAACTATTCTAATCAGTATGAATAAAAAAAATCCGATATGTGCTGTCTTTATGGATATGAGCAAAGCTTTTGACCATATTGACCATAAGGTACTGATTCAAAAACTAAGTAGGTAAGACGTGAGAGGTAATAGAAAACACATAACAGAAATTACACAAATATGCCAGAAAACACGAAATGAAATCAAATATAGATCTAACACTAGAACCATTAAATTTGGAGTCCCACAAGGTAATGTCCTAGGTCCCTTGTCGTTTCTGGTAAACATAAATGATCTCCCTGGACATGTCGGACAGCCAATGATGTTCTTTGCAGATGATATCATAGTAATGATATATGAGAAGCAAGATAATTACGAACATGAAGGCAATCAAACATTAAATACAATAGTATAAGGGTTAATTAAAAATCAATCATAAAATAAATATGGAAAAAACAAAAGTAATACGCTATACCAAAGCACACAACCTAAAACTATAAATGTGAGTTACCAAGGCAAGACAGAACATCCTGTGGCAAATACA